GTTAGCAGCAGCTCGGCTCGCAGAGACTTCAGGGTGTTTCCTTTAGAAAGGAAATTTAAAGATTTTACAGTTTCCATGGCAACCATTTGTTTGTTGCATGATATCTGGTGAAAAAAAAAAGGTAACTTGTAACTTAAACTTGTCTGACCATAATTAAAGGCGGGAATCGAGCGAAACGGGTGGAAAATAAACGGCTCCGAACCTTCAGGAGATTTAAGAAATGTTAATGATAAAGGTCAAACCCAAAAAGAGCAGCTGAAGCTTCCACTCATTCTCCTCCTCCTCCTCTCTAACCCTCTTCATCTGTCTGCCTCCTTCTCTCTTCTTCATCAGTCCTCCTCCTCCTCAGTGTGATTGCTCTCATTTATGAAACACAAAGGCGTCGGAGCAGCTCAGCTCGGCAGGAGCTCTGGCACTTACAGCACGCCGCCGGGGATGATGGGAGTTTTTTTTATTACTGTATGTGCTCAATATGGATGAATGATGTGTGTGTGATGATGATGATGTCTGTGTGTGTGTTTTATTATATTCGTGAGGTCCATAACCCGGGAGCTCACTGTACTTATAAAAAGGTTTTTGTGGGTTAGGACGGTTTTACCAGTATACCCAGTGTTCCCAGTGTTCCCAGTGCAGCCAGCGTGCTGTTACCTGTGGTCGGGGGTGTCCTGTCACCAGACACTGCAGCTCCAGAGTCTCTCCCTCTCTGATGGTGTACACTCGCTCACTGTAGCGCTCCTCCTCTACGTTACAGGCCTGACCTGAGTGCACGATGCGCACTGTAGGGGGCGCTGTGGACCACAACAAACAGATTCAACATGTTCAATTATTTATAGCATGATTAATAAACACTCATTAATGTGGACACTTCAACACCTGGAACACCTACCAGCCAATCAGAAATAGCTATTTTCTGGGCTCCTAGCGTATATATTTAGTTTCCTTTAAAGTCCTCGTGAAATGTAAATGTAAACAAAACGTGTTGTATGAACCAACCAGTTTCAGACAATAATATCATGAAATCCACCTGTCAATGTTTCTAACAGCATGGCTAGCTACTGATATCACTGATTACTGTACAAACACAACTTTATTATCAGTCTTTTATATGTAGGCTACAGACTGTTCAGAGGTAAAAGTCCTCCAGCTGTTTTCAGAGTGGGGACTGTGACATGATGCTGTGATTCCACCTATTTTTACCGCCCTTTATCCGTCTGTGCTGACCACACCGACCCTCCTGACTGTTGAATACTGAGACAGTGACGTAGCTCCAGACGTGATCCTGAATACAAGCTCTCATTTTATTTCTGTATGAAGTTCTTCATCTGCTGACACGTCTCCACAATTCAACAGTTTTAAAGACATTTTCCCCCGCCACATGAGTGGTCTCTCACAGAGCGTCTTTATGTGCCGCAGAGAGAAAAACGTCTGATATGAAAATAAAAACAGCTCCTGTGTTTTATTGTCGGATGAACTCAGAGGAGCAGCTGGCTTTGTGTTTAACAGAGCGCTGTTAGGGAGCCGTTAGCCTCAAAACAGGCGCTACAGCCTGCAGCAGCTCCTCTACCTGTCGCCATGGGAACCACACGGCAAGGAAGCAAACGACGCAGTCAAGAACAGCGTCCTCTGGGTGTTAACAGTTTATTTTACAGCGTTTCTCACATTTCGCAGACTTAAAGTTTGGTCCTGAGACATGAACGTGGTAAAAACAAGAAGTAAAGTTTAATAACTGCAGTGAAAACGTCCCCTGGAGGTTTAATCACAAGGTCAACAGACTAATTAAAGCAGTTTGTTTAGATTGTACAGATTTATATATCATAAACTAAAAAAACTGAATTTGTAAGTTTAGATTTTTTGTGTGAAACAAGATCTAAAAACTTCCAAAAGTATCTTAAGTTAATAAAACAAAACAAAAGGCCCAGTGTGTAACAGTGAGGAGGATCTACTGTCAGAACGTAATATAAAAGGTATGCTTTCATTAGTGTTTAGTCAGCTAGAATAAGAATCACTGTGTGTTTGTTAGAATGAGACGTTTGTAT